GTGACAAAGTTTCAAAAAAATCGGTCGGAAAAATTTTGAGATATCGAGCTTCAAGTGACGTCATGATTTCTGAGTTTTCGACCAAAAACGACATATGTTCAAAAAATCATATAAAATCACAGAATAGACATATAGAAATGCCGCAAACGCCATTAGACTGCCAATACCATGTATAATCAAATGGCTATCTTCGATTATTGATTATGGATCCGCATTTTCCAAAATCTTGCACTGAATCTTGGCAATTTCTCGTGACTACTTCACGACCATGATACATTAATTTCTTAAATTAAACTTTTTTAGCCAAACACGTACACATATGATAAAATGAATGTCACCATCGTGTTCTACGCCCCAAATTACCCATAAAACATGTGTCACAGGCTGCGTATATCAGTTTTTATTTTCGGGGATATGTGCCTGCCCGGTTGACCTGACCTTGACCCTGACCTATACTTGACTGACCCCTGCATGGAGCTGACACTCTTGTAGGCCTTATATGATGGATTGTGCACCGTTTTGGCAGAGTTTATGACGAGAGGCGCCCATTGCGAAGTCCTGAAGTCCATGCTACTGAAAGCCCGATTTCAGGTGTTTGACCTGACCTTGACCTGACCTGTGACCTCGAAATTCAACTTAAAAGTACTCATCTGAAGCGTCTCGTCGCGTTCTTTCGTTTGCCGCCCCGTGCGTTTCGCTGCGCCTATTGGTTCTCGAGTTATCGGCTGGGGGCGTTTAACGCCCCCCCCCCCCCCAGCAAACGGTGGGTGGCGAAATACCCCAGCAACTGCCGGGCTAGAGCGATGAAAACACCTTAGATGTGTTCAGCTCGACGATACGGATCGACTGATATGCAACATGACCCTTTCCGGTCAGGTCATGACCTTGACCTGAGGTCAAATTTTCAAGTTGACCTTTCAAGGTCAAGTTATAGTTCATTCGATGCGTCTTGACAAGAGGAACACGATGCCGGTAAAAGTAAGCTCGTACAAGGCTTGGGTCAAAAGTTATTGCAGAAAAACTGTTTCCGAAAAAATCGGCTATTTTTGCAGTTTTTGCCCCCTGCAGGCAAAACCGTTGACGTTAGGTCAAATCGGAGAGACTTAATCAGAAAGGGCGTTAATAGGGCTATCGAATGCGCTTTTCCGCGGCGCTGTAGCTCTTTTGGTTCCCGAGTTATGCGTTGGCTTCTTGGAAATTTTCGACATTCGACCTGGAAATCGGCGAAATTTTGCCTTCAATGACCTCTGGTGACCTGACCTTTGACCTGACCAAAAAATTGACCGAAGTGATTTCGTCATTATTTTTGACGCTCTTTCGAACGCCGCCTTCCGCGTATCGCTACGTGGCCCAGGAGCCGAGTTAGAAGGGGGGTGTTCAAACACCCCCCCCCCCCCCAGCAGGGCGTGGAAATCCAGGACCCCCAGCCGGGCGCGGGTTAAAGTAGGATGTTAGACTTGCAGGAAAGGATTATTCAGTTAAACCGTTGCTTCACGTTATTACGATTATACAGTGGGACGTAAGGAAAGGGATACGAGTGCGAAGTAGGAATAGGGCAGGTAGTCCGAGGCGAGGTGTTATTGACGCGATGGGTAGGAATTCCTCGGGAAATGTAAGGGAGCCGAGAGTAGGTTTAGGCGGGAAGCCTCCATTTTTTTTCTATTATCGTACGGGCAATTTTTTTCTCGAGGCTAGACGGCTTGTGTGCCCGGCTTCTATGTCGATATTTCTACCAACATGGCTTTTGTACAGTTGAATGCGTACAGGGAGAGGTCTGTTCTGTATTGTCAGGGCTGTGTCAACAATGTCTGCACGTCTTATTTCGGCAGAGAGAGGGGCCGGTAGCGTCATGTAGTGAGGTAGTAACGTCGGTAGAGTATCGGTGGGATAAGTTGGAGTAGCAGTGTAAAGGTTAGTAGACGAGGTATCGAAAGTAATGGGGAAATGTGCAAGGAAAAGTAGAGACGTTCGAGTTCCGAGGTTTTGAGTTCAGGTAGTTTGAATTATTGTGGTAGTCAAGGTATTTGAGGAGTCCATAGATCGAGAGTTTTACGTTCTTGTAGGAAGTTAATGACAACCCATGGAGTGGTGCCGGGTATTCGTGGGTGGTGGTGGAATGAGAGCCCCTGAAAAGTTAGTGAGGCCTGATAAGTCCTAGTCGGTGGGATAGGCATCGATAAGTCCTCGGAGTCGACGGGCTCCCCCGTAAAAGTTAGGCCGAGATGTGGTGACGTCGAGTGACGTGGTGCAGTGTATGTTGTGTTAGTGGTAACTCGGCAGGCCGACGGGCCCTAAATTGAGGCAGGCCCGGGATGGGACAGCATGGTAGCCTCCGATGAGTTTTTATTTAGCTTCTTTGTTAGATGGCGGATAGCAGACAGAAGACGACACTTAAGACCCTGTTAGCGTGAATGTATAATGCAGTTTATGGACATTTATCCAGCCTGGGGGTCAATCTTTTACTTGGTCACCGGCACTACTGGAGGGTATTTTGGGGGCGTCACAGCTAAAGTACGGGGAGAATGCAAGTATTGGTATCAGGAGTGAAAGGGTGAGAGATGATGGGTGAATCCTAGGATAAGGTCCAGTAGGAGTTGTGACGAACTCAGCCGGAACGATTATATGAAATGACACTTGAGGGCATCAGGAATTTAAGCATTAAAATATCATTCAACCTCACAAAGCCGATTCAATATACCAGAATGACCAGCCTCAAATAACATAAAGCATCGACTATCACCCGATGCAATATTGTCTGCAAGGGAGGACTTTTATCACTTTCTATCTTTCCTCTATTATATCTTCTCATTTTCTTCTTTGACCGTATATCGAGGGAGTATTGACGAAAGGTGGCGGTTTTCTTCATTTCTAACTAGAATTTCACACTTAAATTTCACTTTTTCACTTTTCCCATTTTCTATCAGCCTCCCGCGCTACATAGGCATAAATAAATATTATATTGCAGTTCTCAGGCCAATGAGACTGTCTATAGGCCGTACTGATATGTTGTGTCTTCAATTCCAGTGGAGTTGACTTCCGGTCTATCATGCACTTGAAATGGCAAACGTTATAGAAACTAGCTCAGCCCATGTCTTGTCCTATGCTTATTCACCCTTCACATTCCCGTTGGTATTATTTTTATTGTTTTGGTCTTGTACTGAATTGTTATGTATGTGTACGTTGTGCACTGTCCATATGCGTGTTTACTACTCTATACTTGCGTCATTGAACTAAATAAGGGAGTGGGAAATATTGTTCCAACAAGTCTACAATAACCACTGTAAGTGACTACGGTCTGACTACGGACACGATCTTTTGTGTCGCCTTCTCCCATTGTGGATGAAACGTTGCACACGGAGCAACAGCGCAAATACTTCGTTCGTCTCTCCGACGAGTAGTTTTGGTAAAATTGCGTAAAACGGCCGTCAATATCTTTTTATGGCCTGACTTAACCCGCGCCCGGCTGGGGGTCCTGGATTTCCACGCCCTGCTGGGGGGGGGGTGTTTGAACACCCCCCCCCCCTTGTAACTCGGCTCCTGGGCCACGTAGCGATACGCGGAAGGCGGCGTTCGAAAGAGCGTCAAAAATAATGACGAAATTACTTCGGTCAATTTTTTGGTCAGGTCAAAGGTCAGGTCACCAGAGGTCATTGAAGACAAAATTTCGCCGATTTCCAGGTCGAATGTCGAAAATTTCCAAAAAGCCAACGCGTAACTCGGGAACCAATAGAGCTACAGCGCCGCGGAAAAGCGCATTCAATAGCCCTATTAACGCCCTTTCTGGGTAATTCTCTCAGATTTGACCTAACGTCAACGGTTTTGCCTCCAGGGGGCAAAAACTGCAAAAATAGCCGATTTTTTCGGAAACAGTTTTTCTGCAATAACTTTTGACCCAAGCCCTGTACAAACTTACTTTTACCGGCATCGTGTTCCTCTCGTCAAGACGCATCGAATGAACTATACCTTGACCTTGAAAGGTCAACTTGAAAATTTGACCTCAGGTCAAGGTCATGACCTGACCGGAAAGGGTCATGTTGCATATCAGTCGATCCGTATCGTCGAGCTGAACACATCTAAGGCATTTTCATCGCTCTAGCATGCCTCTATCAAAAGTTATTTGCGAAAAACTGTTAGATACCATTCGTGACCTAAGATGACCTCAGGGCATAAACAAGGGTCACGGACACCATTTTCATGTTCAGTGTGTCTAAACCACTTGTAATTCGGTGTTTGGGAGTGTTTATAATGTCTTCCGTCCAAAAGAGGCGCATTTCAATTTTCTCCCATTGACTTATAATGGGGAGGTCGCAAAATTGACCTGACCTTAGGTCATCGATATCAAAATTCTGAGATATACATTTTGTATATGTCATTGCTCTTACCAATCGCTGAAAGTTTCAAAGCAATCGGTCACTCGGTGTAGCTATGACAGACATTGAAACTTTTTATGAGGTGAGGTCACTTCAAGTGACCTGGTGACCTGACCTTGAATGACCTTGGTCTGAAATTTTTACAACATGTGTAGAATTGATGCATGATAAGGTGTACCAAAAACGGCGGCGCTCCGCGCCGCCGTTTTTGAGATATTCGCGAAAAACCACAAGGGGGGTGTTCAAACACCCCCCCCCCCCCAGCAGGGCGCGGGTTAAATGAGTTCACACCTCTGGAATGACAGTAATACATACTTGGAATCGAAGTTGTTTTAGATACCTATTGCTATTGTTATTACGTAGCATTAGGATGAAGAACGATGCAGTCTAGCTAACAACTCTGCCCGTCCGTCTGTCCGTCTGTCTGCTTGCATCCATGCATTTATTAATCTCCAGCATATTATCTGTCAGTGGATGCATATTCTTCTGTGACGTGATCGTTTTCATTTTCAACGTCCATGTGCCCGTACTCCTATGTATGTATACCTCCAACGGATAAGGTTATCGCTGAGGTTATTGCGGTCTATCCAGATACACCTAATACCCGCCGTCGCCGTCCGGCCGACTGACCTGCTGACCGCTGCCACCTCTGACTGGGCCAGGGCAGGGATGTCCGCGAGGGGCCGGGTGTCACTGAGCTGCACCGTATCCAGCTGGGAACAGCCGTGAAGGGCGGACAGCACAGTTTCGGAAATGCCGCCCGCTCCGTGAAGAGTCACGTCCTTCAAGCTGATGAGGGCAGCCAGGAGGCGTCCCGTCGCTTCCGGTGTCACGGACGGTGAGTCTGCAAAACATAAAAACAGACACACATACCGACTGGAATGGCTGCAACTCAAGACAAATAATATTCACAGCAAGATATCATGCTTAGTAGTTAGTACTAACCAGTACGACACCTTTTTGGGAAACGGACAAGCGAGAGCAATAAAGGAATATTGGAATAGCGCAGCAGTAAGATCCAACTGCTTTATATGGGCCATCCTTCCAACCAGTCCATAATAGCATAGCAGCCTCGAGCGTCCGTCGTTATTGAGAATAAGATGCATAAGCATATACTATACCCATACATAATAGCCAAATGCATATACTATACTCATTGGCATGATCGGTACGATATGTGTTTAACGATAAGCGCTACGTTTTGTCAACTTGATAAAGAGCAGTAGTAAGCGGAACATAAGAGCCACGTGTTCCCTACATTTGTCATGGCCATTGGTCTGGTCACGATGTCTTGGCACCGATGCTCTACTCGTGCTGGTGTTGCTCACCATTAATGAACAGCTTGGTGACTGAGTGGGTCGCCAGGACAGCCAGCTGGTCCAGGAGTGTGTCCGTTGCTAGCTGTACACCGAACAGCAGTCCCTCCGACGGACATCTTACGAAAGTCAGAGGTGCCCGCGTCATTCCCGACCCTGTGGAGAGGGATATAATCGCCCATCAACACTGTCAACTGTGTACAGGGGAAGGTATACCCATACCCATAGCCCATAGCCTATGACCCATAGCCTGACACTATGGGTCAGCTAGTCAGTAAATAACACTCGTATGGGTGGCATGAGAATCACCGTCTCCCATAGTCTTTTTCTGTCATTGCCATATGCATACTAGTCATTTGTTGTCATCGCATTTTTGATCTTTAGATAATTTATCGTTTGATTTTGAGTACAATATGTCCAGGCAATAGATGTTAGCCTGCATTTGTAATTCATGATATGCGCATTGTGAATTTAATTCGTTCTCAAATCTCAGATTTCAACACTGATTGGACTTCGGTCCGTTAGTACTTAGTAGGTATACTCATTACTCATGAGCAAGCAAAAAAGTAGTTGCAAAAAAGAGTAAAGGTATTTTTGCAGGTAAGGTACCATTTGCATCTTAACAATTTTATTTCTTCAATCAACTCTCCAACAAAACATACAACAGTTACAGGAGGGCCCATTGTCTTCCTTTTTAAGCCTCTCTCGAGATCTGAGCCACGTTTCATAAAGCGAATCCGTAACTTACGGCGGTTTTTGGCCTTGTATTGCAAAGCATGTGAAGCGATGACGTTAGTTTGAGTCGTTGAATTTATTTATCTTGCAAGCCAGAACAGAGGGGAGAAGGGGAAATAAATCTATCGCTTCACATACACTTGCAATGCAAGACCAAAAACCGGCGTAAGTTACAGACTCGCTTTATGAAACGAGGCCCTGACGATGCAGGTCAGTGCTGAGGGCTGAGGCAACTGCGAGCTCACGCGTTCTACCAACACCCAGTCCAACTGACCAGTGATGTCCAGTCTCCTCAGTGACTTGGGCAGCAGCCGAAGCCACTTGCCGGAGCTGTCCACGGGTGGGCTCACATCGAGCCGCTCCAGAGCCTTCAGCGGGTCCAGCAGCGCCTCCAGCTGCCAGTCGCTGATGCCGGCCGGCAGCGTCAGCTCACGCAGACTGGAGGCGTTGGCACGCGCCAGCCGGCGCAGGGCAGAGACCCGCAGCTTAAAGCCGCGCAGGTTGGCCTTCTCCAGGGCGTGGCAGGTGGCCGCTGGAATAAAGCAACACCAGTCAGTGAAGAAGTGATTACTGATATGGACAAGGAATGACAGTTACAGCGGGACAAAGCGTACCAGTTCGTGTGCAGCGCGTTTCACACAGGACTCACCGACCAGTCGGAGGTCGGTGTCCGTCTCAGCGGTCGGCGCCTGCAGTTCAGGCAGCTTCGGCTGGTCCTGCACCTTCAATACGAGCTGTAGGCTCGTGGCCGGCGCCGGGACCTCTCCACCACGGGTTTTCTGATCGGTTAGCTCCCGCCGACAGTCGCCGACGATATCGTCGACGGCGGACCGCCACCGACGGCAGACTGTCGGCACCGACGGAACAAAAAGAATTGGGTTTGACCAAGCACCTTGCCGGGAGCGTCAATGTTTGTACAGACAGCGTTTGCATCTTGAATTGTAGAAAGTAGCTATTCTATGAAAAACAGCATTCCGAGCGGTCATCCATCTACGTGTGAATCCCGTGCCAGCCCCTGTCGCCGTTCTAGCCCTTCGCGTGATAGATTGTCCCTTGCCGAGCACTCCGGTTTCTAAGGAATGACTCCACGAAGGACTGCGTATCATAATGAAGCATGATCTACATACACTCCATTCAACTGTCCTACATACAATGTCAGTTGCTGTAGCACTTACCCCGCCTGGCGCGGAACATCTCCCAGCAGTCCATCTTGCTCAGCACCATCTTCAACAACTCGTGGTCCAGAAGATAAATGGCAGGAGCCAATTGCGGTGCAGCCTCTCGCACGTCGCCGCCCGCCGGCCCCGCCCCCTTCGCAGTTGGGGTTATGACGTCACAGCTACTGATGACGTCACACTTGTCACAAGTGTCGCCCTTCGGAGAAGCCACCCCCTCGCCGTCACTGGGAAGGAATGACGTCAGTGTGACGTAGTGTGACGTCATAAGAGCTCTTAGGTCGGTCATTAGACAATAATTTCCAGAAGTCTCCACTTTCAAGACAGGACCCTGGGCCGTACCATCGATCTGTGAAAGCCCATCTAGTGTCCCCTCCCCCCCATCCTTGTCCCACCCAGCAGCCTGCTGCCTCACAGTCACTCACAGTCAAGTTGTCTACAAAACCGAGTTGTCTCTTACAAACTGTCTAGTGTCTACACAACCGGTTCGGCTCTTATATGTAGACAAACTGTCCATACAACCGGTCAATATTTGCATACAAACTGTCTACACAACCGGGTTGACTCTTAATGGGAGATAATGACCTTTTTCCACAAAATCTGAGTTAGGACCATTTTCTGACAAAACACAACAAGTTATAATGTAAATTAAAACCATTTTGCTCAAATCGGTACCTTGCCGCAAATATCTCAACTTGAAGTCACGTTAGCGGGAAGCGCTGAAAATGACCGTTGAATAAGTACTTACATCACTTTTTGGTACTTGCATGTAATTTTGTAAAATGAGCGTATTCCTTACATTTGATCTTCATCACATCTAGTTAGTTAATGGTCGTCTATAGTGCCTTCAAAAGATATTCATGGTTTGGGGGTGGTTTATGTCTAAATTTACGCAACTATTTTTCCTGTTCATCATCTGACGCCATATGCTGCTATTTTAGTAGCAACGACTCAATTTTGAATCGGTCCCGCCGACTGCACAATAAAAGAAGATAGATACAATACAACACTTTTGCGGCATCACTGAAAAACTTATGCAATACTGTTATCAAAATTCTCATAACACCGTTCGACAAACCTGAAGTCTTTTTGAAATAAATATGCTTGTATTTTTCGCTTCAGGCTCTGACGCCAAAATAATGAATTTCGTAATCGCAATCGCAAGATTTGGCTGCGTTTCTGGCGCATGCCGTTCATTTGTGGCGCAAAATAATACTTGGAAACAAAGAAGAGTAGGCACTATGTACCCCCGAATTAGAATCTAATTAATTCTAATTCGAATTAACTCTAATTCAAATTAGAATCCTTACAACCAAGCAACGACAAGACGATAACATAAACAAAGACCCAAGCGTCGCTGTTTGAAACAAAAGCGCCATATACTGCGACTTTTTTATAGAGAAGGACAACGCATTTCGGTGGGTGTTACAAGTACTGCAAGTACTGCTTCTTTTTTGCAAAAATAAAAACCTTTTTCACATACGAAAATGTGCTAGGAAATTTTCATATTTTATAGAAACTACAGTAGAAATAGCATAGATGTCGAGTAATTTTTATTTAAGAAAAAAGAAAGCTCATTATCTCCCTTTAAAAACAAACTCTCTACATATCCGGGTTGACTCTTACAAACTGTCTACACGTACACAACCGGTTTCACTCTTACAAGCTGATGTTTAAAATCACTTGCAGTCAAAGCCGACTAACTCCTACTTTTAACCCCCTAATGTCATCCCACCGACTAACCCCCTGGTGCCACTCCTGCTGCCTCTCAGTCTCACCTCTGGGAGCGGTCGGATGGCGCCGCTCGCCGGCGGACCTCCTGCCGCAGCTCCTCCACGACGACCTGGCGAGTGGTGCGCTCCTCGAGGACAGCCTGCCGCAGGCGGACCACCTCTTCACGTAGATGGACCACCTCCTGACGCAGTGTGGCGTTGTCTCCCTTAAGTGTGGCGTTGTCTCCCTTCAGTGTGGTCACTTCTCCCTTCAGTGTGGCGTTGTCCCCCTTCAGTGTGACCACTTCTCCCTCCAGTCCGACCACCTGTTCACTCAGTGAGTCGCAGTTTTTCTTCAGAGTGGTCAGTTCACCATCCAAACGGACAATGTCCTCTTGATTACGATGTGTCATTTCCTCCTTCAGAAGTGCCATCTGTTCTTTCATCTGGATAACCTTCTCTTGGAGCTGCCTGGGCTCCATTTCTAAAACATAGAACGTGCGGTATATAAGACTGAGAGAACGGTTTCACCTGAAACAGTCTAATGGCCTTAACGGCATGTGTCTATGGCTATTCTGTGAGTTTATGATTTTTAACACACGCCGTTATTGGTCGAAAATCTCGAAACCATGACGTCACTAAAGCCTCAATCCATAAAACATTCTTTGACAAATTTGTTTGAAGTTTCGTCTATCTGAACTTCAGTCAATTCTTTACATGTTAGCAGAATTTGCCGTGCCTGTTGTGTCCCGTTTTTCTTTTAAGCTAAGGCACGTAAAAAATGGGGGCGCTGCGCTAGCTCCCCCCACTACCCCGCAGGTTAACCCGCACTTCGCTGACGGCCCTGAATTTCCACGCCCTAGTCCTACTGGGGAGGGTTGAACACATAGGCGTCGCCAGAGATTTTCGGTTGGGGGGGGGGGCAAAATCAACTTTTGTGTTAAATCTTGCCTTTCCCCAGTCGTTACTCACTCGTTTTACATATCATTCGACGCGCAATGGCGCAAGGAATCCGATGGTGTCAAAGTTTTCCTTCTAGCTATGTCATTTCATTTTGTTTTTACAGGAAAATTCGAAATTTTGAAATTTATAGACAAAAACGACCGGTAAAATTACAGTGGCTGCGATTGCCGACGCACTACAGAGGGCCCCTGCCCAGCCTCGTCGCTCATGATCATTACCCACAAAAAGGTGAAAAACGCTCCATTTAATCGCAGCACCCTGCTAAAACCTCCATTCATGCATGCATGCAGAGGTTTTACGTGAAATGCATTAGGGTTTATCCCAGCCGCCGATTGTAGCTAAGTTGGGCATTCGGCGGGGACTGAGAGTGAATGTCGGAAGTGTGAATCGCAAATAATTCATTTTTGCTCCAGTGAGAGGAAGTGTTTTGTTCACTCGAGTGTGAACAAAAAGTTTCTCGTTTTTCGTGTGACAGGGAGCGCTGCAAACGCGAACAAAAAATGTTTAACGGAACCAAAAATTAAACACGGCATAGCGGCAAGGGATCCCTTAGGCTTGGGACTTCCAGGCCATTTCAGGCCATTCAGGGTCAGCGTGGATTCTTAACCCTCGCCCCGTTGGGGGGGGGCCATTTTGGCCCCCCCCCCCCTGTGGTTTTTCCTAAATAGCAAGAAAACGGCGGCGCGCAGCGCCGCCAAATTTTTAGTACCTTTCCGGGCATCAATTTGACACCTTCACACCAAATTTCAAGTCTTAGGTCACCTTAGGTCAGGAGTTATTGAGGTCAATCTGAGGTCATGTTCGAGCAAAAATGAGCAAAAAACATGCAATCTTGAAACACTCACCAAATCTACAGTTATCAAGCAATTTCAAAGTTCTTTATATGGTCTAATAGACAAAAAGCGGCGCTACAAAACTGCTATCTCGGATTTTCAAAATTTTGGGTTTTTGACCAAAAAAAAAATTCAAAAAATTGATTTTTTTTTAGAAATACTAAAAAAAATCCAACATTTTTCCGAATTTCGTAAAAACCGGAATATATTTGATAGTCCCTGCGCTCTTCTATATATATACCAAATTTCAGATCGATATCTCGTTTTTTGGCCAAGTTATAGCGAAAAAACTGTTCAAAAATGATGACGTCAAATTTTTGAACTCAATTTTTAGCGATTCTAGACCTCGTACGGCAAAACAAAGACCACCATTGAACTCGTGACGAGCTGCATCGATTCGATACCCATTTTATGCAAAAATATCAACTTTGAAATTTGACCTTATTTGACCTGACCTTGACCTGACCTTGACCTGACCTTGACCTGACCTTGACCAAAACGTGACCTAAGCTGGCCCCAAAGGCTGGCTGACCCACATAATCGCATTTGTCATGTAAAATGGACCATAAAACATGTATCACACGACACTTTCATATTGTGACCCCCCAGTGACCTGACCTCAGTGACCTGACCTGGTATCAGTGACCTCAACTAGCAAAATATGTGTTTGAAGAACATTTCCCCATCGATGATTTTCAATGAAATGCATTTTACTCGATTTTACAACGCATTTCTTGAAATGCCTGTAAACGGTGAAAATTGGACCTTTGACCTGACCTGTGACGTCATCGGTTTGACCTAGGTCAATAAAATTGGGTCACAAGGTAGTTCCCTGATAGGGCTATCCAACACCGTTTGCCGCTTGTCGCTACGTTGCGTGGTTCTCGAGATCTTAGGGGGGGCCAAAATGCCCCCCCCCCCCCCCCAACGGGGCGCGTTGCTCGGCAGAGCCCAACGGGGCGCGGGTTAAAAGCCTGCTTAGGATCCCGGAGATCGGCGTGGGTCACCTCAAATATTTACGCGCGTGTGCTGCTTAACCCGCGCCCTGGTGGGGTCTGTTTATAACGCGACCTGGTGGGGGAGGGCTATTTTTTGCCCCCCTCCCCCTCGTATCTCCGAAACTACTGGGCGGATCCGCAAAACTCAAACGGCGTTCGAAAGGCCTGTCACATTTGTCAAGGGAAACCAAATTTCATTGACCTCGGGGTCACCGATGACGTCACAGGTCAGGTCAAAGATGAAATGTTTCACCGTTCACGGGTCTTCTAGGGAATGCGCTATAACACCAAGGAAAACGCATTATGTCGAGAATCAGCGATAGGGCGTCAGTTGCCTAGTAGATATGTTGCTATTAGAGGTCACTGACAATACCAGGTCAGGTCACAGGTCAGGTCACCAAGGGTCACAGGTCAGGTCACATGAACCCAACTTTACTAAGGTTGTGTGATGCATGTTTTATGGCCAATTTTTCATTTCCAACTCAATGGTGTTGGTTATAAGACTATCAGGTACAGCTTAGGTCACTTTCTGGTGAAGGTCAGGTCAAGGTCAGGTCAAGGTCAGGTCAAGGTCAGGTCAAGGTCAGGTCAAGGTCAGGCCAAGGTCAGGCCAAAAAAGGTAAAATTTTAAAGTTGATAGTTTTGCATAAAATGGGTATTGATTCGATGCAGCTCGTCACAGGAAGTCTAATGGTGGTCTTTGTTTTGCGCTACGGGGTCTAGAATTGCTAAAAATTGAGTTTGAAAATTTGACGTCACCAATTTTGAACAGTTTTTTAGCTATAACTTCGCCAAAAAAAGAGGTATCAATCTCAAATTTTGTATGTGGATGGAAGGCGGTAAGGACTATCACATATATTCCGGTTTTTGCGAAATTAAAAAAAAAAAACTTCTTGGATTTTTCGACTATTATATCCAAAAAATCTATTTTTTTATTTTTGGGATCAAAATCCAAAATTTTAAAAAATCCGAGATAGCAGTTTTGTAGCCCTGTCAATTCTACAGCTCTTATGTCTTTATCATTTTTTCTGTATTTGCAAAGCTATAGGCCTGACAGTTCTTCCCGCGAAACCCTTTTTTTGGGTCGAAAACGGCAGAACATGACGTCACTCTGACGTCATTTCCGGCCAACCTATAATAGCCTTTGGATACATTTTTGGTCACAATGTGTAAAATTGATGTCCGGGAGGGTTCTGAAAGTTTGGTGACGATCGGCGCAGCGGTTCTGGAGATATATCGAAAAGTCTGGAGGGGGGGGGGGGCAAAAAATAGCCCCCCCCCCACCAGGTCGCGGGTTAAGGGCTTTCCGAGCCCAAGGTGGGGCCCTCAGAAGCCAGTGTGGGCGGCGGGCGCTAAGAGACTAGGCCCAGTGTGAGCATGGAGCCCTCGGATACCTAATGTATGCACCATCGGGGTCTGCGTCAAATCCCTAAGGATTTGTTTCTTATGTAGGGACATAAGAAACATTTGTTGCGGCCCTCAGAGGGACACGTGAGTTGTGACCCTTCAGATGCCGGTTTGGTGTTAGCAAAGTCTATCGCCTCAAAAGCTCGAAATTTTCGAAGGCATCCTTAAAGATTCGTGTGGCTCAGAGGCCTACGCATGTGTAAGATCCTCAAAAATCCCTGTATGGGCCCTCAGAGAACATGGACACCAGTGGGACTCTCAGAGGCCGGTTTGGGCACTCTGAATGCCTCTTAGCCCTCGCCCGTATTGGTGTTTTTCCAGCCGCGAACGTATAAGGGGGGGGGGGTCCGTTGGACCCCCCCCCCTTGCCGTTTCGCCCCTGATCGAGCTAGAGCTTCGCGGAAAAAACGAGCGTGTTGCCCGTGACAAGAGGAAGCCGATGATACCCAATTTTAAGGTCCTAGGTCATTGGTTGACCTTACAGGTCAGGTCAATGACCCCAAAGGCGGGAAAATCTGGACCTGTTAGAACGTCGTAAAGTGTGGCTGCTATGGGGTTTTTTCGGGGTGATGATCACGAATATCATGTTAGTTTTGATCACAGATGATGTCTTCATGTATTTAGGCCAGGTCGGGTTAGGTCAGGTCAGGTCAACCAGTAAGGGTATTCGTAGTACACCTTTTTGCGTTGTTCGATGGCCAATAGAGATGCCACTTTTGAACCCGCGAACCCGCTTTCTGCGGGTTTTCAAAACCCGCAGGGTTTTTGGCGGGTTTGAGAAGCAAAACTTATCGTGTGGCGGGTATTTGGCGGTCAGACTTAAGAACCTATATTTTTTTTTTTTTAGATGCAAAACACAATGCCAAGTGCATTTGCTCAGGTTAGCAATACAATATTCATCAAAACAGCTTTTAAAACAGAACCAAATATAGAAATATATCAAGGAAGCACATTTCAAATGCAAAACTGAAAACAACCAGCAATAGCATCCACAGTCTAGCAATGACCAAACCAAGGTATAAGCAACAAACTACAAAGCATAAATAATTGCTGATGAAAGCATTCCATAAAACATAAAAGAACCTGAAAGCAAACTTATAGGAAGCTGAACTGAAGTCTATGTGCAGTGTGCACTAGATATACATTATGGAAGAACCCAGAATCAGAGCAAATGCCACATGCTACTTTATTTGCGTCTGGTCGGCATAAAAAGAGCTATCAACTAAACAAAATTTGATGCAAATTCATTGATTACCTATCCTATGTTCTGTTCCACCCTATAT